TCAATTTTCGGAAATCCAATATGGCGGCCAAGGTCACAAGACCGCTAAAGATTTTTTTGCTGATATTTGCTAGACATGAGCTAATGATGCCACACAAAAAAACCGGAAGTTCCTAGACCCTCAGAAAGTGGTGCAATTGAGCACTTCCGGTTTGTGTTCTACCCAAGATGGCGGCCAGGTCATGTGACCTACATGGCTGGTTTTGGGGTATGAACCACAACTCATGGCCCTTTATCAGCATGCAGAATAGCAAATCAATCGCAGCATTATTTTTCAAGTTACAGTGGTTACAAAAAACGGCGGAAAAATAATAATAAGCAAAGCAATTACAATAGGGTTTCGACCCATAGGGCTCGAAACCCTAAATACAACATCCATCTAGTATGGTGCTACATGGTCTGCTTTTTAACATTTTGAGCACGAAAGTTTTTTCACATTTCACAAAATAAATTTTGTTAATAATTTTGACTATGCCAAACAAAGCCATTACAGGAAATTGGCCAGTTTATTACATGACTGCAAATTGTGTTGTAAATGTTATTTACATATCATTCACACTTTCACAACACTCAGCGCAAGGCAGTCAACTAGTAAAAATGTTTAACCAAATGTGTGGCCAGAAAAAAGCCCTGGTACTAGCAATAATATTCTATTCCTTTCTCCCTTACAGGTTGACTTTGTCATCCGTGATGCTACCAATTTTGATAATTTAGCACAGCTCTATGAAGGTTGGACTGCTTGGGTATGAAAATATAGTACGACCTGCTCTAAAAAGGGAGCAAGATCAAAGTTCCTCACTATATAAAAAGCAACAAGGAAAAACAAGGCCATTCGCCTAGAACAAGGTTCCTTGAGAAACAAAAAACGCTCTGTCAGTCATAACTGTTGACTATAACAGTGCAAGACAGACCAGTACACCAATTAATATAATACAAAAGAAGACCAGATATCCAATCAAACAAAAGACAACCACCAAAACCAAGAGAGTCATGATGTCCCAGGTAGAGGGAGGTAGCCAGGGTACATCTTTGATTCTTGACGATGGCCTAGAAGATACTGTTCAGCGGTACCATGGCTTGGTTTCCACATTCCCATGTTTATGAATACTACATCTACATAACCAATCAAAACTAGTTGACTAAATTACTGAGATTAGAAAAAGGGAGAAAAGAAATTGTATTCGTTACAGGGAATGATAAAGTCTTTTGACAATTTTTTTTTTATTATTATTATTATTACTTTTCTGCAGTTTATAACAAAATGGATACATCATCACACACACACTGCAGTACTGACAGCAAGTAGATAGCTGTACAAAGGGTTAAATCATTTTGTTCTGTGATTATAAGGTAAAAAAAATGACATCGTTACAACATAAAAAAAAAACTTTATTAGCCACATATGCACGATCTAAATCTTGGCACTCTTAAAATAAAAATTATTCAAAATCTACAAAAAATAAAATAATGTTGTATTTTTTATTTGCTCTGGTTGAGCCATAAATAGATGACAAATGAGATGAAAGATGGGTTAGAACCATACACGTAGAAACTGCTTGAGGTTTGTGGCTATGATAATTGACTCTGACAACAATAGTTTTTTGTAATTGTGACTTTAGCATTTCCATGTCCCTAGTATTCCAGAAATAATAAGACTTTTATTAGTGATATTATTATCCATTATGGGGTTTATTGTATAAGTAGACAGTTGAGTATTCCGAGTTACTCCCCCTTTCTGTTGATTTAATGTATACATTATCCTATTATGAGCGTAGATTGCACTTTAGATATTGTTATTAATTTTCTTTCTGCAAACACTATCATTGTAATCGTTTTTACTGACGTCTTATTAGGTAGGGCTCATCTATACCGTATATACACCAAGATATATATTAGTACTTTGTGACATAAGACTAAACATTGCACTTATCTTTCATTATTCAAAATATTGATTTAAGATATTGTTGTTGATTAGTGTGCACCCACTGTACTGCACATAGATGGATATAGTTTTTTCAACTTTCCAGCAATCAACAAGTGTTAAATTCAGTGCATAATTATTACTGACTATCACAATGACATGCAATAAGGTCTTAGATGTGTGTCAGTGAAGTGTTGAACCCCTTATACTTTATATATATTTCTAGCACAGTTGTACAGGTATATATACAGTCTAATGTTGGAGGGTTTAATGAATTTTGAATTCCGAACAAGTTGAACATGTCTATTACCATGTTATTTTGATAATATTCTTGTATGCACAACTATACACATTACAGGTCATCATCTCAAAAGTGTGAATTCAGTTTTATTTGATTTTATTGTATGGCTTACATTAACACCCCCCCCCCCACCACCACCACCACCACTCCATCGTCTAACAAGGCATACCCGGTAGTACTGCATACCTCTGTTTGTCCCCAAATTCTACAGTAAATCAAAAATGAACCAGGATTTTTTTTTATATGGAGGTGGATAGGTTGAAAGTGTACTAAATAATTAGTTTTGCACAGTCAGTTGTTTCTATTGAAAATGAATTTGACTGACACTCTGTTTACATGAAGATGCCATTCCTAACTACTAGTGGTATACCTGGTAATAGCTATACTGCTATCAAAGAAAGTAGTCCTGTCAATGTATTGTTACTGTGATACCAACAAGTGGGCTGTGTGCATTGCCTAGCTCATTCGAAGAGTTGAGTCGAGACTGTTGAAAACTAACACTATCCACGTTTATGTCGTTGGTATGACAGTAATAGCTTTCAGACGTTACATATTTTTTTTTATTGGCCAGTTTGATTGGTTTTCAGTTTTGGAGCTTTGCCAACTGTATGTCCAGCACATTACAACAGATGTTGGCTACACGGTCTTGAACGTTACAAAACGGAGGAGTTTAAGATGAGAAGTAACATCTGTGAAATTATCAATTTGTTTACAGTCACATGATATCTCTGAAACTGTATTGATTTATACCAATTTTTCTTGGCCTAAAAGTCATCTGTCCCTGACCTCTATCAGCTAATGTAAATGGGGTTTCAGTCATATGTATTGCACTATTAACCATTGTTTTTTAATTCTTCCACTGTATAAGATGTATGTAGAATCAGCTGTAAGTCTAGATTAAGGTGATATACAGAAGTTCCATGTGTCTTGTTCCAATATCAAGTGATACTATGTGTGTTATATTTTATTACATTTAAACGTTAATCATTGTAGGTGCAATTTCAGTCAAAGGTTATCTTTTAATAACACCATGGAACTATAAATCATCTTATGTAGAAACAATTTTACTGATGTCTTGAGAAGCACACGTCTACTTCAGTCGTGGCGCTGTTTCCCTAATCAGTTCTTTGAAATACTGTAAAATACTTTATTTTCGCTTGGAATTAATTTGAACATAAAAGCCAGCGAACATGCCTTTTTTCCTATATTTTACAGTCAACGAAAACATCCATAATGTCTTTTCAGCAAAAATTAATTCCAGCTAAAATAAAGTATTTTACAGTAAGCACATTCACAGATTGGGTTACATGTCATTTGCTAAGATCCAAAAAAAATTACCGGTAGATTTATTTCTGGTCCGCATGCACTTAAGTTCCAAAGTCCATGCTTGGATTTTTTTTTATTTGAAACAAAGAAAAAAAAAAGATGTATGTGCCTGCCGTTGGTGGTGCAATATCTTGTTGACGCATGCATAGACCAACTTGAACTTTTCTTGATGTTTCATTAAAAAAAAAAGATGTATGTGCCTGCCGTTGGTGGTGCAATATCTTGTTGACGCATGCATAGACCAACTTGAACTTTTCTTGATGTTTCATTAAAAAAAAAAGATGTATGTGCCTGCCGTTGGTGGTGCAATATCTTGTTGACGCATGCATAGACCAACTTGAACTTTTCTTGATGTTTCATTAAAAAAAAAAGATGTATGTGCCTGCCGTTGGTGGTGCAATATCTTGTTGACGCATGCATAGACCAACTTGAACTTTTCTTGATGTTTCATTAAAAAAAAAAAGATGTATGTGCCTGCCGTTGGTGGTGCAATATCTTGTTGACGCATGCATAGACCAACTTGAACTTTTCTTGATGTTTCATTAAAAAAAAAAGATGTATGTGCCTGCCGTTGGTGGTGCAATATCTTGTTGACGCATGCATAGACCAACTTGAACTTTTCTTGATGTTTCATTAAAAAAAAAAGCTTCACAACAACATGCTTGCAAGTTTTTTTTGTTTACATTCGCACAAATCGACTTTCTTGATGTTTCATATAAAAAAAACCCACAAAACCCCCTCACTGAATCGGTTTTTTTTTTTTAAAGAAACTTTGGACCAGAAACGGATCTGTTTTTTGTTTTTTTTGACCTAATAAAGCATAATGTGTTCATCTATTACATGTAGGTAGGGTCATTTTACCATTACATGTGAACTAACTCAGATGGGTATGAATTATCTTATTGCATGTTAATATCTACTAAATGTAAGGTGAGCTCCATCAGGATTTTTTGTTTTGCTTCAGGCATGTTAGAACTGTATTTCAATCTGCTTAATATTATTGAAACCTACTATAATCATTCTTTAGTCAAATGTGTGGCACATTGCGACTTGCACAAGACACTTTGTCTTTACATTATTAACTGCCTGCTTTCTATCAAAGACCTCAACTTCAACAGTATACAAACAAATTATAATTGTCTGATACCAAGTTGTATTTCTCTGTTAAGTATCCCATTTCTGTGATGGGGTCACCGGTGAATTTAGTCTATTTGTCCAGATCTAAATAGTTTACCTGGCAATGCACCTATTCTAGTGTAGTGGTCATGACACCAGTTCCATTTAATTGTATTTTAATATTAAACATAGTACCTTCAAATTCTGTTCTAGTTTTTATGTTTCTATTGTGATTCTTAAAAATGTAATGTTTTTTTTTTTTAAGTTTTGTGATTTTAGTGTTGTATTCTCTTATTACCCCTGAAAAAAAATTAATAAATGTACATGTAGTTCGTACAGAAAAAAAAAAAGGACTAGTTGTATTTATTTTGTTCTGACAATGTTTATTTATAAAGTCGTACAAAAATACATTAAACAGTTATACAACTTTTGCAATAATAAGACATTCTTGCATAGTAAGACTGTTTTTTTATTTAGACAGTCAATCTGTTCATATTGTCATGATTGATAAAAGACTGTAGATTAGCAATCTTTGTCTCCTCACTCAAAACCACTCTAGCTGTAAATTACAGCGATCACCAAAATAAACTGATTAGGCTCCTGGACGCAACCATTTTAACAAAGGTTACTCTCGTACAGTGAAAACTGTTCACATGGCGAGTTGATGTGATTTATGGATTTGAATTCAAAGTCGTATTTGAGTGACAGTACTGCGTGAAAAATGACATTGAATCCTTTGAGTTTAAGTTCTCCATTTGGAGCATGCTGGTCAAAAATATTCCTGGTAGTGGGACTTTCAATATGCAAGTTAATTGTTCTCAAATTCCAACTGTTGAAGGCAATGTTGCGAAGGAGATAATGGTATTTCTGATCAGTTATTTTCAGCGCCTGCTGTAACAATGGTTGACATGATTTACAATACTAGTCAAAACAGAAATGTGGGTTTATCGTATACTTAATTTAAAATTATTTCAGAATAAACAATTATTAACTTTTTTCTTAAAATGTGAATTTTAGATACTTCAAACTGCATATCGATGAAAATCAATTTTAATGTGTAATCTTTGCATACATGTCTCAATTTCAACTGATTTCTGTTATTTTTATTATCTGTGGATTCTGACAGCGAAATTGAAACTTTCATTAACAAGTCATTGTTAATGACACAGTCCCCGTCCAAAATTTTTTGATCTGATGAAGTCATTGAGAATAGATTGAAACCATTAATATGAAGTGGATTTGTAAAAAAATTATGATTTAGTGCTTTTACATGAGAATTAGACATAGGGCAGTCATATTGAGTCAAATTACAAAAATAATGTTCATGTTGATGTATCTATCTATCTGGTATACTGTCTTTGTACAAAATTTAAACAGAAACGCTCATTGCATTCATGCAAAAGTAGGCATGGGTACCATGAAAAACAAAATGACCGCCAGTCGGCCATATTTGTTCGAATCACGGAAAAAATATGACGTGCACCTATAACCCAATGTGTATGATCACCATACCAACTTTGATCCAAATCGGCCTAGTCATATATGAGAAACAGCTCCAGACATGTAAAAATGACGATTTAGCACTTTTACATGAAAATTGGGCGTCAGTCAGCCATATTGAATCGAATCGCAAAAATCATGTTGGTGCAGATGTATCTCTTGGTATACTATCTTTGTACAAAATTTAAAGAGAAATATTCATTGCATTCAAGATAAAGTAGCATGGGTACCATGAAAAACAAGATGGCTGCCAGTCGGCCATATTTGTTCGAATCATGAAAAAAACATGACGTGCACCTACAACCCAATATGTATGATCATCATACCAACTTTGATCCAAATCGGCTCAGTCATCTCCGAGAAACTGCTGCAGACACGTTTAGGTATCAGAAATAGCAAATTTTACATCCAAAATGACCGCCAGTGAATCATTTTTGCTTCGATCATAAAGTAACTTGACGCGCATATGTAAGACATTATGGATTGTCTTCATGTAAAGTTTGAATGAAATCCGTCAATGGGTGTCCGAGATATAGCTCTGGACGTACGAACGGAACAAACCCAAATTAATAGTCCCCGTTTTCGGACTTCGTCCGAACAGGGACTAAAAACCAACATGTTGATTAATAGCATGCGCATCATGCAATCTGATTGGTTGAATTGGCCTATCCATGTAAAAATATTTTTTAGCAGATATATTTAGAAATTCCGAATAGAAAAGTTTTTAGTTCCCTGGTTGAATACTCCACTCACAATAGAAGGGTTGATTTTGATTTGATATCAACTTGTAGAATAGATATTTATGAATGTTATCTCCAGGGATATCTTACAATATTAGTACGGATACCAAGGTGTTAGTGAACATCCATAAAAACATCTACATTCTGTGACATGTGCCGCACAACACCTGAAACGCTGCTGAACCTTCGTTGGCAAACAAAATTATTTATATAAAACCATTTTCAATTGTAAATGGGTTTGTCAATTTACAAATACTTTTGATCCATTCTACTCGTTCCAGATACCAATTCTTCAAATGGAAGACTAGTATTATTTTTTTAAAAAAAAAAGCAAAATACAGAATATCATAAAAAAAAAACATGCTTTTACACAAACTTTGGCCATGCTGCATTCACAAAAACAAGCACACAACAAATCCATAATCTTTATCCTGTAACTCTTGCATTATCATTCAAAATATACACCTATTTATATCAAAATTGAAAACAGCATGACAGGAAAATATAGAGAGATCTGTGGAAAGTATTAAATAAGATTGGATGGAATATATTTAAATGACATACTGGCGGCGGATCCAGAAATTCGGTAAGGGGGGGCGTGCTCCCATTGACGTGCCAAAGTCCGCGCACCTCTGGTGGGCTGGATTTGTCAAATGATTTGTAAATTTGTTTTCTTTGCACGCCTCCCCCTAAATCCACGCGTGCAAGTACTGTTTAAATACTGGGACGGAATTAAAAAAAACAGGATGCCACATATATATTTGCCCAACATGATCCAATGTGAATTAGTTCGAACTCATTGAAGTGCCACAGTCATTGCAATGCAGCATGTTCTATGTGGATCTGGTATGGCAAATGTTGACACGTGGTGGAACCACCCTCCTGATTTCCGGCAGTGTTAGGAAAAGAAAATATTTATTGTAGCTAAAAAGAAAGTGTCATTTATTATTTGAAAACAGATGTTAACCCAAAACAAAGTAGTCATGGTTATCTCTTCTATAACCATTGTATAAAACTCTATTTCCTGATATCCTGTGGTGATCTTGAGGTATCTCAGGTCCTATTCGCCGACCTATAAATACAATATTAGAGTGTATGAGTGAACGATGATGCACAGAGCAATGGAAGCATAATTGCAGTTTTTTCACTACTGGAATAAACTTGTCAATGGAAATCATTTTAACTTTACATTAACTCATAATAACATAAGAGACCAAATTGAATGTCTGTTTGGTTGTTTCCAGTTAATATATGAATAAAAATATAACGCATTGGTATTAATTTAGTGTTTATCAGTTTGTAATATTGAGGCAATGCTGTACATTTGATAGCTCAACAAACATTTTGAAATCCAAGATTTTTTTATTTGCCAATGGAAAATCAGTTATTTTTTTAATGTAACTCTCAATAAATTATTATTGTTATGTAATTATGGTTAAAGAGTCTCAAAGTCATATTTTATGCTTACCATTGATAATATTATGTCTGATGTGAGCTGGGGTTGGTCTAGCTTCTCCTGGTCCCCTTTGCATTCCTAATCTATCATGTACATCAGTATATGAACTCCAGTAATTAGGTTGCCAATTTCTTCTTACAAGTACATCCTGCATATCAGCACCTCGCATATTAAATGATCGGTTGACTAAAGATGGGTAATGAGTTTCGTTGGGCTGTGAGATAAACAAATATTTACAATTGAAATAGCAAACAGTACAATTTTGCAGTGATTTGCACTTAAAATATGGTTGATTGGTTAAAAGACTTATTATTTTATCAGGACTTACATGTGTGGTTTCCTTTGACAGGTAATTTCCACCATAGTGTGTATTATAAAACTTCTGTCTGGTTATACCGATGTCAAAATGTGAGGAATGCAGAGATGGGCATGGCAATGGGCGCACTGCAGGACTGACTGACTTACTGCCACCAAATGCCTGAAAACAAAAATTTAGATTATTAGATCAGTCTGTAATGCATTCACTAATAATTTTCTCAGCAGGTTGAATTGAGCAGCATTTTCTTTATTATTATTATTGATATTTCATTATTGTTATGTAATATTCTATTCTATCCTTTCTGACAGTATAAGTTGTGTAATAATAATAAAGATATGATTATCACTGTGCATACAGGTAGGTACTCTCAGCATACCTGTTGCCGGTTGTGAAGAATTAGAAGTTGTATGCGAAAACAAATTCTATTTTTCTTAAAATTAATTGTTTAAGTTGAAATAATTAGTATATAAAACCACACAATCAAGCTGGTGTGTAATCTCTCTAGACATTCATATTTGAGGTAACCACCAGGTGTGTGACTCGTAAAGTGTTTAATATTACATTGTTCTTTGTTTATCAGATAATTCAATATACATTGCAACATACCCCAAACTTAATGTTAATTTGCACAGAAAGAAATTCTGGAAAACAAATCCTGCAGGGATTGATTAAAAAAACAAAAACAAATCTGCAAGACTAAATCTTAGAGAAAAAAATATATTTCACATAGTGTAAAAAAGAACAAAACTGAGTGAAGGAAAACAAATTTTACACAAATTGTTCTGTTGTTGCCTATCCCAGAGTTTCTAATGGTCCATTCCAGGGTCAGACAGGGGTCAATTTATACAATTACCGTATATCTCACTCACTCACTTGCAAAAAGTAGCTGTCATGTTTAAAATGTAAGTGGTTAAAATACAATGATAAAAGAGCCATACTTTTAATACAATTTCAGTGATTGAATGTAATAGCATAACCCAAACCTATGTACAATGTCTTGGTTTCTGGATTCTTTGAGTTTGAACAAATTTACAATTGGAAGCAAAGTCCATATTGTTCTTAGTTACAAAGAAATGTCTTTGTCAACAAAGCATTCAACTTTATGTTCCATTAATCTAGACCACTCAAAACCGAGTATGAACACAGCTTGACCATATATTAATAATAACATTAAGCTTACATCTTGGATGAACTAAATGCTATATAGTTATCAGAAACACAATTTACTTCTAAATCAAATAGGACAACACATTGATTATAGCTTGATACTGAGTACAGTTGCTAAGTGAAAATACAATGCTAACTTTTTTCAATTGGCAAATAGTATTGAACCAATGCGGAAAACCATGCATGTTGACAGTGTTTTGTACTAGGTAATTTCATTGCAAACTACGATATACATTTACATTTTGTAAGAGTAGAGGTAATAAAATAAAAAGATTTTGTTTCTCATCGTAAGAAAATGGGCAATGAAACAGTTTTATTTTATTTATTTTTTGTATTAAGATTAATCAATACTACAACAAGATACAAGTTCAACAATTAAAATGTAATAAATAATTCTTTCAAATATATGTATCACAGGTATATTTTGATCCACAAAACCTCTGAAACAAACATTCCACTTTACTTGGTGCACTCAACTAATATTTGAAATTGAAAAAAAAAATTGTTTGAGGTGCTGGTTTGTCGGCCTAATATAGTTTACTCCTTAATAAGAATCACTGTAGAATTAAATTTTGTGATCAAATTGCATGTAATGTAATTTTGCAGGTATTATGTTTCACGGTCACATCAGACTAATCAAAACAAAGAATGACAGATCTTTAGTATGAAATTTAGCTTTACTACACTGACCAGGCATGTGTAGCTATTGCTGCAACTATCAATTTTTTTTTCTAAGATTTTCTGCGTCATAAGTGACAATTTGTAATGGCCACTGCCAAAATGTGGACAGTTAAAAGCATAGCATATACACTATATACCAACGTTGTACATTATATCACTTGCAAGTGAAAAAAGATGGCCACAAGGTTGCATCCAGGTTTACAGAGAATCTATTGAAATCCAGTTTTGTCAAGCAATTACGGTACAAGATGACAACCTACGAAATGTCAAATGTCAAACGCCACCTTAAGAGGCTAAACCTCTCTCTCTGACAGACTCTACTCACCTATTTCCCATAATAGTGTATGGAGAGTGTCATAATTTTCCATGGTCACCATTATGTGACCGATTTCAACAAAATGCGACTATTCGACTTTTAGTTTTTACATTGCATTAGCTTTGTGTAGGGTCACTTTGTCCATTCAATTGTGTCTAATACAATATTTCGGTAAGATTTGGTCATCCTTATGTGGTTACTAACATGTAAACAAAAAAATCTCAGCTATTGTTGCTTTAAACACTAAGTCATCAAACTATGATTAAGCAAGACAACATTTTCTTGTGTTTTTAATTTTGAGATTTTTGTTTATTCACAAAATTGAAAACATGTGAATGTTTAATGAGCAACATTCAGAAATTCTATATTTCTAAACTACCCACAATTAAATTTACAGTTGGTGGGTTGACTACTGCTCAACTCACTTTCCTTATTACTGTATTTTTATTACATGGCATAAACTATAGAAAATGCAAAACGTGGGATACCGTTAGTACACCAAAATAGAATTTATCAATCACATATATTTTTAATCAGATATCACATAGTAGGTGTCTAAGACCGCTATCCAGGCACATTGACTTAAAATGGGCCTATTCTGGCAGCACATATCTCCCAGGAACAGTGCCCACCACCAGGCAAACGTAACGATTTTAAAACTCACCGAAAACGATGACGTCAAATAATCCATTTTTGGTGGTTGTTTATCGAACGTCAATGTTGTTCGGTGCATCTGACGAGTACCTTTCGGTGGTCTGTCAGGCGATATAGGCGTTTTCCTGTCTTTGAAAGCGACATCACTAATCACAGTAATATCTTTAGCTCGATTTGTCAGAATAGTTGACGTCGAGTGACCTTGTCCACGGCTACGGGACGACGAGGTGGCAGACGACGAGGCCATGTTGTTGGTGTCCTGTTAACTGGATCGCAGATGAATGTGTGGCAGACCGCACGGCACGGCACGTTACGTTACTAGCAGGTAGTCATCCCGATAACTTAGAATTTCTAAAAAAAAAAAAAAAACCCCGGTCACGAATGTGTACACGAACAGTTCAAAGTATACTATTTACAAACATTTTAGTTGATAGCTGCTTGTGTCACGCATTACTCAGTAAACAAAGAAATTAATCCGCCAAGAGGGCTGAAAAATAGAACTAACATGAATACTGTTATCATAAGGCAAAATTATTAACGCTGTGTTCAGTGTGTATGTCAAGGTGTCCCTTTGTATGAATTAACACCAATTACAAGGCGACACCAGCTTTTATGTCAAATCTTCGTTTATTCCTACTTGACGCATTGATTTCAGTGTCGTCATGACAACATAGAAAGTAGTACATAGTGCCGTAAACAAATGAGCAGTCGCAAAGCAACGACGTAAACTTGACGAACATATCGTCGCAAACCACCTGTTTTATCGATTATGGCTACAATCTAGCTGTGGAATCATGGCGCTATGTTGCCGACCGCATTATTTACGTAACTGACTCTGGCCGTTCGACATACAACAACAAAATTGAAAAGAAGACGTCCAAATGAAATGGTTAGGGCGAAATTCGAATGTAGGTGGCACCAAAGAGCCACGGAACCGTTAACCGCAGATAGGCTACAATCATGATGATAATATATTTGTAGTTTGGCCTAGGGGTATTCAAAAAAAGTAAATGACACTATTGCTCAGTAAATATTTATATTACTAAAAAAAAAGTATATAATTTGAATGACAACATTATTAAAAGAGCACCGCCCAGAGGTGGCGGCACGAAATTTTGCACGTGGGCGGGGGTCTGCTTACCAGCCTTACGCCAAAGACGCGACCTTTAAACATTTTTAAATACAGACCATCTGAAACGCTATTTCCTGCATTTTGAGGGGCAAATTTTGCTGACACAAAGCTTTCAGCTTGATTTTGAAGGGGCGACGCCCTCAACATTTGTTACGAGGGACGACCTCTTCTGCCCCCTGTCCCGCCGCCACTACCGCCACCGGTATAGAATGTACATCTGTTCGTTTTTACACCGACAGTGAAAATCCTGTTTAATGAATAGAATTCTATACTAGAATAGTAAAGAACAATTTGTGTATGTGATTGTTTATTTTATTATTATTAGTTTTTATTAACATAGGGCGCCCTCTAAATTCATAACATGATGTATATGATATCGTTTGGAATGGGAGCTCAACCTTACGCTT